ATCTAAAAATTACCTCAACTTAGCACCAGCAAGCTTGTTAGCTATAGACAGTTAGCATCAGCTAACAATATTTACTTATTTTCAGTATGGTTATGATGAATAAACATTCATATCTGTCTACTCGGCTAGTTAATCCAAACAATATAAAAATTTATTCTTTTGATAAACAATATAAAAACAGACGTCACATAGGGCTAAATGCGTAGCATTTTAATAAAACTGTTAACGTTACAGCAGCTTGGAATATAAACGTGCATGAGTTATTTTATTTAATCTGTGTTATTTTAATGTTTCCTTTTTTTGACCTAAACATTTTGATGTGTCTGCATTCAAGCATTTCAGTGGGCTTAATCACACTTTACAGCAGATTTAGTTAACAAACTGACAGTTTTGACCTAAATATGATTTTCAGTTACAGTAATTAATCCTAAAATCGACATTAGTAACTTACTTCTCGCAGCATCAGTCGCGCACGCGCTCACAAGATCTCCCGGTTGTTACTTGTGAATTCAGTTCACTGGAGACTCGCTCTAAACGGTTCATTTGAATCAGTGAGTTGTCGACTCGAGAACAGCTGCAATCGGATCATTCTAATTCGTGAATGAATCAGTTAAGTAAAAGTAAAAGTTACTCAAAATAAAACTACTCCAGTAAAGTACAGATACTTGAAAAAAGTACAGTAATGAAGTAAAACTACTTCGTTACTGTCCACCACTGGAATTGCGATATGTAGACGCTTTATATCTCACAATTCTGACTTTTTTTTCTTAAATTGTGAGACAAAGTCATAGTTAGCCTACCTTTTTTATATTTTATCCCATGTCGGAAAACAGATTTCATAGAACTGACTAGATTTTGGCAGCAGAAATTTGGGGAAGTAAATGTAAACAAGTAAATGTAAAAAGTACAAGAGTAAATGTGACACATTGCTTGGTATCCGCATAATCGGGAGTTTTGCATGAGGGCAAAAAAGTCCCCCTAGCAGATTTTGTTCTTTGTTCAAGTTGTTCACCCAAATTTGTGGCATTGACCAACATAAATCTACTTGGTTTGACAGTGACTCCATGTGATGAAGGACCTTCTCTGCCTGTGAAATTTCGCTAATGTGACCGTGCCTTAAAACAAAGTCCCATTGCAGTTACTGTACAACCATTTTTGGGTGGTGAGGTGCAGAGCACAAAGAAAAACTGTAAGTAATGGTTTTTAGCCTAAATATAATGCCATTCTACACTTATTCACAGTCACACATCAGCCATGACTGTAAGCTCTGAGGGTGAATCACTAAGTTAATGAGCCAGTAATGAATCATGATGATCAGTATCAATGGTGATGAACTATGGGGGCGTATCATCTATTTTAATTATTTACTCTTGTTCTATGAACTACAAAGTCATGATGTGTATTCGAGAGCTATGAACCACTACAGTACAATTACTCACTGCTTCACAGCTTACACAGCTTTCCATAAAATGAAACAAGCCTCCTATAAAATGTGAAAGCCTCTACAACAAAGAAAATCCATAAGCCAATAGGCCTATACAACAGAGCTGTCTATACAGCTGCCAGAGTTGTTTAATATGGAGAGATGAAACAGAATATTTGCCCCAATTTGAGTTGTAAATGCATAATAAACAGCGGCTGAATATTTAACAGCCCTCAAACATGTGGCGCGGCTCACATGATTGGGAGTTGTCAGTCACACAGAGCCTGAAACATCACAGCAGGAGGTTTGGCTCAGTGGTGGGAGGTTCTCAGAGGGTCGATTAGTATGCACAGTTGATGTCCTTTTAAGTTAGAACAGCCTTACCATTGCTGAAGGAAGGATTGTTGTGTGAGAAAGCTCAGCTGGAGCTTTTTGACACATCAGATCAGCCTCTTGGTAGCCCATCATCCTCCTGTCACAGGAACATTGTAGTGTTTGCAACTAATCTTCAAATGACAACCTAAAAATTTTTGTGGAGAGTTACTTGCTTTGATCTTTAGATACGCCGCTTTGTTGCTGCCGACAGGTCCTAAGGTAAAGTAACAAGTGAGGTACTTATATAGGGCATTTAAATTCTTTTTTAGATTTAGGACTCCAAGCACTACAGTTGCAGTTCATTGTTTTATTCAAATCAGTCCTAGTCTAAATGGAAGACGGTATGGGTGCAACATCCGAGGAGACTGTAGTTACATGTGCAGTTTATGACTCATGTAACGTGTCCTTACATAACTCGGTCGACAATCCCTGATGATCATTTTCCCATATTCCTTTCGCCTACATCATGCTGGCCTTGTTGCTTTAGAGTGTGGTTCAAAGTAACAGTATGACTACTACAGGATCCATTCAACAGCAGATACAGTAGAGCTCAGTTACCACAGTTACTGTTAAACTGCACACATATCATAATGTCATTCTATAGTGAAGGGCTACTGTAGGAAAAAAATATGCAATAAATAACATATTTCCAGAGCAGAGAGCTAATTTAAACAGAAAACGCACTGAGATCCATAGCTGCTAACAGTGAGAACTTAAAACAAGAGAATGGAAGAAGAAATACAGATATTACTAAAAATTAAGTCTAAATAAAGCCGTTATGAACACCGGAACCGGTTTTCCAGGATAAGCACTACATTTGCATGGATTTAATTTAGGAATTGACTAAAATTATGCATACAGTGATGTATAGAATATTTGCAATACAGCAGTTGATCATCTACAATGTTTAATTGTCATTTTGGTTTCAGCACTCAAGACTTGAGTCACATGGTTGCTCTTACATAGCTGCTAACAGTGAGAACTTAAAACAAGAGAATGGAAGGAGAAATACAGATAGTGCAACTCAATATTACTAAAAATTAAGTCTAAATAAAGCCGTTATGAACACCGGAACCGGTTTTCCAGGATAAGCACTAAATTTGCATGGATTTAATTTAGGAATTGACTAAAATTATGCATACAGTGATGTATAGAATATTTGCAATACAGCAGTTGATCATCTACAATGTTTAATTGTCATTTTGGTTTCAGCACTCAAGACTTGAGTCACATGGTTGCTCTTATGGTTGAACCTCAAATATTGCAAACCTAAGGAACTTCAACATACAGTTTATGTGCTTCAAAACCTTTCATTACTGGAGGAACCATTGATGGTTTTAACAGTTCTTGCAGGAACTTATGGGATCCAATGTTCCTCAGAGAACTGTTGTCTAGAGGTTCTTGAGAAGGTGGACATCTGATGTACTTACTGTATGTGGTGCTTCAAATGTCTTTTTATTTATTTTTTTTTGTATTGTGGACTGTAGTAAGACCAAAAGCCCAAAAAACGCAAACATGATCAGCACCCCTTGAGTTCAACAAAACTGGAACCATTTTCAAGTTCCTAAACAGTTTATGAAGGTTTCCCAACTTTCTAAGTTCACTGATTCACTCCCATTAGTCCTGTTTCATCAAATTCTTGACGGTCCACTTCTGGCCAGTGCAGGAACGCAGGATCAGAGCATAGCCGAAGTAGACATTAGCCGGCACTACCTCGAGACAGCGTCCTGTAGCTCGGTTGATGATTGCTTCATTCTTCAGGGAACAAAAATAAAAAAAATAATTTTAGTGATCAAAGGCAAAATGATCATTTTTACAAAATGCTCTATATAAAAAGTGATCCAATCACCTGTGCAAAGTGCCAAGTTTTCTGGGGTACGCTAGAGACTTTCTCACAATTCAGGAGCTGTGGGTAGCTGCTGATTTTATCGTCCACCACACACCGAGTATCTTCGCCAGTGCTTCCCAGAGGACCCAGGAAAAGATAACCCTCCTTAGTGTAGCGACCCAGCTACAAAATAGACCACAGAGGGGATAATGTGAATGTATTTAATTCAGTGATTTGGTAACTGGGTCACTGAGTCATTTAGGGGCATTTTGGCACCCTAAGCTGATGATGTTTGCCAGATAGTTTTTGGCAGTAATGGCTACTTCCATAATGACTATTAATTTATTATAATTATTAGCTGGGTCAAGCTCCAGCGCAGATATGTAAACTGGTCGAGACTAGATCTAGAAGTTGTGGTCTCCAGGTTGAATTCAAAACTAGAAAATATAATTTCTTTCTTATTTTGCGTCATCTTGTCATTTCATTGCTTAGTTGCAACTGATGAACAGAAGACTCCCTCTAGACGTAACCTATTTCCTGTGTGCAGAGTAAGTAGAGGTTTAGTGGAGGTTAGGTCTGTGGAGATGTATAGCTGTGAGGAGTGCCGCTCTACCTGAGGGCCCCAGCCATGGCAGGGGTGCAGAGTTGCTGTGTGGTTTTCCTTTATGCCCTGGTCCAAACACAGATGGGTCACATTGGTATTGCGAATCTAGAACATATTAAAAAGAGTTAAAGAGCTGATAGTTTGGCCTGCTTTTGCTTTTTTTTTTGCACAAAAATAAAAATTCTGTCATCATTTACACACCCTCACAATACATCACTTTCTTTGTGTATTATGAATATTGTTGACTCCTTGACAGATTGACTTCGTTCCTCTTTTGTTTTTGCTTTGGATAAAAGCGTCTGATAAATGCATAAATGTAAATGCTTCTTCTGTGAAATACAAATTGGGAGGAATGTTTACAGTGTTCTTTTCAATACAATGTGATGGTTAAATAATACAAAGTGAATGGTAAAATACTGGAGCTGTTAAGCTCCCAAAATGATAAAAAGGAATCCTAAAAGTCTCACAAAAGTGGGTCATATGACTTCTGATGCCATACAATAGCTTTGTAAGAAGAACAGATTGAAATTTGTTGACTCTTAACACCATAGGTTTTGGTGTCACAATGGTCACTAAAAGGAAATCATTGCATGACTAGACAATATTATTGAATAAACGCATACAAAACTTGAGAGCTGCAGTAAGATGATTGTTAAGAATTTAGCCAAATAATGACTTTAAATTTGGTTGACTCCTCACACTATACTATTGGTTTCAGAAGACTTGGAAAGAGTCATACCGACCACTTATGTGACACTTTTACAGTGATTTTTGTCACTTTTTGGAGCTTGACAGCCCTAGTCCCTATTCACTAGCGTGCAGGACCTTTTTCAAGATTTGTTTTTGTTTCGTGGAAGAAAGTCAGACAGGTTTGGAAGGACATGAGGGTGAGTCAATGATTTTTGGGTGAACTAACCATTTGACAATAATTAACCGAATAATGTTCTTCTAAAAAAAACCTTCTATTTAAGTGGCAAGAGTGTTAATCAGAGACCCAGTGTTAATGTGCCGGTCACATTAGTGAAATTTTGAAGTCACTTTCAAACCAAGCAGCTTTCTGCTGGTCAGCACGGCGAATCCATCTGACCAACTTGAACCGGTTGTGAAATCTGTGAGGGGGAATCTGTGACCGCACCTTTAGTCATTTCATGTGGCACTCACCTCTCCATAAAAGAGAGTGTTGTTGTATCTCTTCATCTCTGGATAGATATTGTCAAGGTACCACTCAAAGCTTTTGCACTGGAGTCTTTTCCTGAGCGCTAGTCTCTGGGATATGTCTCCATAGTCAATGCCATGGTTCTGTATGGACAAAGAAAGTGAATTTACAAAGTAGTATACTAATTATTATTATAACATTGCAAATGTATCAAGTGCTTACCTTCATTGGTAGGTTCCATGCCAAATAGACATTAGATTTGTATTGGTCCATCCACACTTCTGCCACCCGAAGTGCATTGCGTCTAGTGTGAAAGGCGATGTTACTGTGGTAGGGCTTTTTTGTTCTAGCAATATGGGCCACTCTGGAACAAGGCAGAACTTCCATGCTTCCCCCGCACAGCCAAACCTGGGATTTGAAAATACACATACACCTATCAAACTTCAGTTCTGGCGTAATTTTAGAAGAAAAAAAAAAGCTAAAATTCATTTCAAATGAAGGTTCTGTGCACTGAGCGTAGGGAGGCTCAGTTATGAATGCTCTACTTTAGCGGAGGGATGTGGGTGGCATACTAACCCTGATTCCCAGCTCTATATTTTCGCCTCCATACACGTCCATCCCTGCGTCCAGTAGGCCCAACTCCCCAAAGTATTCCCGGTTTACCACAAAAGAGCAGCCTATCATTGCAGGCGTCCTAAAATACAGATTTTACATTTTCAGTACTGTTTCTTCTGTGATATACTGAATAATTAATGAAGAAATAATGAATGTCAATATTGGAAAAATAAGTATAAATAACTGAAAATAATCTAGTAATATATTGAAAGTAGTGGCAGTGTAAAATATATCTTTTAACTAACTAAATGCATTTTATTTTTTTATTTTATGTATGTTTTTTTATATTGAAATTGTATTACACACACACACACATGTAGTTATTATTTTATTTATTACTTTACATTTTGTTTTACTAAAAATAGATTTTTGGTTGATATGGTATATGTACATTTATTTTTCCACATAAATTCTTTATTGTGAGTCCCTTTTGGAAAGTCTGTGCTTGAGAGAACATTCTAAGCACTGTTTACACTATATTAAGACCACTTTGCATTAAGCAACATTTAAACATTTCATAGATTTAAATTTGAGTGTTTTCTCAGTTTTTCTTTCATAACCGTGGATTATGTTATAGTGCAGTGTTGAACAGCAGTGCCAAAGGTACACAGAGTGAAACAATGCTGTGCTTTGAATATTATGGCGAGTTGTTTAGCAACACGAAACCAATCACAAACCAAACAATGCCAACGTCATTAAATATGAATATACTTTGTACAGTTGCATAAACTTTCAGTGAGCTCTGTTTAGCTTCAGCCTTTGAGTGAAACACTTAAAAATACTCCTGTGTATTTCCCTCCTATTCTTTTTAGTATGTTTCAGACGATTTAAGACAACCAGAGCAGATATATAATGTGACAATCAAGTCCTGCTATAAAGAGGGTCTCTTTGTGTGCTGTACTTGTCCAATCAATGTTATTAACTTTGTAAATATGTAAATATTTGTGGCTTATGTTAAAGTTCACATGTAGAGTGTGAAATCTTGGCTACCCAAGATTAATTACTAACCCAAAGTAAATGAAAGTTCAGTAGGATCCTACCTGATAGGTGCAGAAGTGTCTCCTTCATCCCACCACTGTTTCGGTGGGCTGATATACATACACCAGAGCTCCCAGTTATAGCCGTGGCCTGAGTTTTCATAGCGTTCCAGCTCAAACGTCTCATCTTTAATGTTATCTATGGAGGGCAGTATGATCCTCTTGTGGTTCTCCTTGATTCTAGACAGAACTGGCTCAGCCCTGACAAGGGGATGTAGAGGGTAGATCATTATAAGCAAAGCTGTATTGCACAGTGCTAATAACACTTCTTCAGCTCTGCTGTGGAGCTAAATCTAATCCTGGCTTGTGAATGTGTTGGCTAGTTTCTCACCTCACATCAGCCAATTAGATGGACCTACAGAGGAAACATGAACTGAAACTGTTTACACATGGTATTCATATCTGTTTGGTTTGCACATGAGAACACAACACTAAATGCAGCTGTGAACAGGGTCCACAAGGGTTGTTTTCGTAGTGTAGACGTTCATGTGGTCGAATGCATTCGAACAGCCACAAAAGACTCGATTTGGGCTTGTTTTGAGAAACACCCCAAAAAATTGATTCCAACTTCACTATGCTATGCAAAAACACATGGATTACAATTGCATTACCATTCATATCCTTTCCATTCGCTTTCTCGTAAGTAGCGGAATGGCTCCAATGAGTTAAATTGTATTTGTGTGTTGCATTCAGTGCATCCACGATAATGATGTAGAGCTGGGGTGCCCAATCCTGTTCCTGGAGATCTGCCATCCTTCAAAGTTCAGCTCCAACCCTGATTAAACACAACTGAAGCAGCTAATTAAGATCTTCAGGAGCACTTGACAATTACAGGCAGGTGTGTTGGAGCAAGGCTGGAACTGAAGTCTGCAGGTAGGCAGATCTCCAGGAACAGGATTGGGCACACATGATGTAGTCTTCAAGTAGTCACAGAAGACACACTTAAAGCGCATGTTAAGATCAGGGCTGTGTCTGAAATCGCCTCCATACCCTTAAATAGGGCACTATTTGAGGGGACAGCCATTTGTAGTGGAGTCCGAAACCATAGTGGATGTTATGCACCGCAATAACGAGTGTACAACCGATGTACACTCAACAGCTAGAGAATAACCTTAAAGCACTGTGAGGGTCATGCTGAATGAATTCCCGCATCTTGCCAGAAGATGGCACCTGCAGCTGAATCATCCATTCATCTATTTTCCAAACCGCTTGTCCAATATGGGTACAGCGTAATATCATACAGGTATACATTTCTTTTTAATTGATTTTTAAATATTTAATTAAAGTGTATACATGCTAGTTTCCATGAAAGTGTTCAAGATAAATCTTTTTATTAATTCTGGAGCTGTCAGTTTGCTAAGTTTCAAATCTTTATTAAAACGTCAAGCACAAACTATGCAAAAGCAGCCGCCCTTCCGGTGCACTCAGTGTACAAATTCACTCACTTGTTTTCAGTCACTCCTTCAACTAGACTATATTAGTGGACTAATGTAGGGAATAGTGGATGAGGTCATAGGGGGCGATTACGAACACAGCACAGGTGTACACAATAATGCACCTCGGCTGAAAATGCATCTCAATACCTGGTGTCAACATCAGGGCCAAAAACGCATGTGAAAAAAAAAGAAAAGAAAAAAAACCGGTTCCTATCTTTTCTTGCCCTGCCACAAAAAAATTTGATTGTGGTTGTTATCATTGTTTTTGACCCATGTTATCTTGTATTCTAATAAATGGGCTTATATGATACCACAATACCAGTTAAATTTTACAATTCTCGATTCCAATTTCAATTTCAAACATTATTAAAGACATGTAACAGTCGGTAAATAAGAATAATGAACAAATTACAAGAAACAGCACAAATAAAAAAATAGAACAAAGATAACTGCTTTAGGTGCTTTAGGGTTTTAGGTTTGTATGTGTTCAGGTACAGAAATTAATAATCAAATATAAAATAACATCGCATATTCTTCAGAATATAAATTAAGTATAGATTAATCCTTGTGCAAAAGTTATTTAGTCAAGGGCAGTGATTGAATTTCTCTAGGCGGTCGCACACCGGACGTGAAGCGCAGCGCTGCGCCGCGTCTAGAACAATTCGTAAAACAAGTACAACATGACGAAGCTGGGCGCCGCCGGATGCATACACTCATAGAAAACAATATGTTCGAATTCTAAAGATGTGGCACGACGCGGCGCTGCGCTTCTCGTCCAGTGTGCACCGCCTTCTCTCTCTCTCTTTTTTTCTGGATTAACAATAAGGACAATGACAGCAGCTGGTAAATTAGGTGCGGTCACTTTAAGAGACAATGCATGGATCCAATATAATGATACAAATCCGATTTCTTTCTCAATTATATAAGTTCAGTTAAGACATAATCAACTGTTTTCGAGGATACATCTCTAAGATGGGTATTTTAACATCCGTTTGTATGTATTTGTCTGTTCAAGCGCAAGAAGACGTGGAAAGAAACGCAATACGAGGCTCGCACATTGCCTGAGACGTGGCTCCTTGTGTGCAGTGGCCCGATCGGGCCAGTGACAAATCTGTCAACTGTCCTGAACATCTTTCACACTGGCCCCGGGCCGTTGGGCAGTCCTTATTGTCGAGCCCTGAAAAACATCTTAACCAGCCTAATATGGGATGGTTTTAAGATGTTAGTCTTAGCTATTCTCAAACCTGTTTTAGATAAGTCTGAATCATTTTCAGATGGTTGTAAACCAGCTAAACACCGGTTTTGTAAGGCTGGAAATTTAGCTAGACCATCCTGGCAGGATGTGAGACCATCTTAAACCAGCTAAAACCAGTTTAATCCAGTTAAGACCAGTAAACCATATTAGGCTGGTTAGGTTTTATACTTTTCCAATATGTGAAAAAAAAGTTTTAGATTTTGGATTAAAATTCATTAGTAAATATATTTGAGATAAACCCCGATTTTTCTTTCTTATTTTGACTTTATAAACACACTTTACAATTGACGTAGTGATTAATGCATGAAATCACATATTTAGAGACCCTCCAATTGAAATCCAATCACAAGAGTCACAAGAGACATATCTGAGAGTTACTACTGGTTGTAAACAGCTATCTGTCTCGGCTGAACAGTTCAGTTTAGATCACCCAAGACGGATGTTAATACCAGGTGTAAACAAGGCCTGAGGAGTCGAGGTTTGAGTGCGACCATCTATAAAACCAGCAGCGTAGTGTAGCAAGTGCTAGATTCTCACCATGCAGGCGTGAACTCAACATGGGCATCAAAGAAGCCAGTCACCTCCCCAGTGGCCACTTTCCAACCCTCGATGCGGGCACGGATGAGGCCCTCTCTCTTCTGATTGCGCACTATTTTGATAAGACCCGGGTAGCGCTTGTTGACATACTCCTCCAGTGGCCCTTTCAGTTGTACTGTCATGCATAAACACATACACACATAAACGGTAAAGAGGGGGAAATCTCATTTTATGGTGCATGAGTGCTCGTCGCTCTGTTTAAACCAGACCAGAGGGAATGTGTCTCCTACGCCAAAACTGTTCCGTGCCTTTGATGTGTGCTACGGGGATCTACACCATCCCCCTGGAAAACACGTTCTTGGAAAGTGTTCCCTATCCCCATGTTAAACACTGTCATCTGCATTCCAAGTGACAAACCGTGAATCATTGACATTATGAGGATAGAAATGGGTGTGCTGCTCGCCTGCCCCCTCATTTTAGCAAATGCAGGCTTTTCCCCCTGCGCTGATGGACGGTTGGCCCTCCGCCACTGGCTCATGCGAACAATGTGATGGAAATTGAAGTGTCTCTCTGGGAAGGCCTGAGCACACCCTTTGATACAATAGACAAGCATGGCCATGCGCAACGTGAGCAAAGAATGCTTGGCAAACTACTCCAGGTTATCAGTGTTGACACTCCCGCTCAAATACAACACAATGGATTAAACCCGGCCAGAATGGTTTATAAAACTAGATTTTTGCATTTTATATTTGCTCTGTGGTTTCTAAGGTGTTCTGAGTGGGGTTTAGTGCATTGGTATGCGGTTGCTGGGGGTTTGGGATGAGTATTTAGTGGTTTCTTACTGGTCCAAGGCAAAAGAACCCACCCATCTAATGGTATGTTCAAGTCCACTAGGAAAGATCATATTTATAAGTTTAATGCATATCTAAATATGATTTTGTACCATGTAATTTAGAGACAAAATTCTCTTGTTTCTCACCGTCATCGCTGTTGTCATCCACCAAGATGATTTCCTTTAGGAGATGAGCTGGTGTGTGGTTGACAGCTGAATGGACTGAACGCAGGATGACAGACAATGCCTCATTTACAAAGATGAAGATGATGGAGATCTGTGGCAGGTCACGGGAATAAAAGGCCTTTTTGCATCTATAAAAACACACATACGTGGATACACACAGAACATCTTATAGCTTTGAAACAAACCACCGCCTAGAATTTTTGCTACTCAAGGGTGTGAAACCTTTTACTACCTAACAGAAGGAAAGCCACTTCTTGCTTTATTTGCACATTTTCCATGTAACAATTACAGAGCCTAGTGGGCCTCAAATATGAAGCTTATTTATAGAACCTTGTTTACTGAACTTAGAAACAGTAAATGTCACTTTCCTCTCCTATTTAATCTTGGTGTAAGGAAAACCTCTTAAGAAAATGGTTCTAGACATTCTAGCTAAACTATTGCAATGAATTTTTGTGAATAAATGACAAATATGACAAAGTACACAAAACTATGCTTTACTTTTGCTAGTCAGTTAACTCGTTCCATATTACACCAAGAGCAAAAACTATAGATTTCTGTATAGATATTTTCAGGGTAAAAATAAAAAAGGCCAGTGACACTCACTTGCTGGGTCGATAATCTGGAATAGATCTATCCAGAGAGATTGTGTCACTCAGAAATGCATTGTAGCCATATTTCTCCCTCAGGTATTTGGCCTCCTTTTCTTCCTCTGGCATAAGTGTTGCTGGTAGACCTCCTCTACCTCGGCCTCCAAAACCTTCAATGAGTCCAAGAGACTTGGACAAACCTATTCAACACAAATGACTCAATTAAATGGCTATTTTGTTCTGTGAAAGGGCATTTTTGTGAATAATACTATGGTCACTCTTTACATATTTTTTTAGTATTTCTACTTTGTGGGGTTGCTGCAATAATAAGTTACCATTCAGTTGTCTGTACACCACATCTTCCAATGATCCCAGTCTCTTTAAGAGCACATCATGAGTGATGCTGGTCTCCTGAGCAGATCCATTCAGATATGTCTGTCCTCTCACATCAGCAGCTGCTGCCTGTTGACCCACAACTTTGGTTGTGCGTAAATTGCACTTGCCCCAAAAAGTGATGAAGCCGGCCACCGTAAACACATTCAGCACCAGTAAGATTTTCCATCTTCTCATCACAAAGGCCATGAAAGATTTTGGTGTTCGGAATCCAGCGAATCGCATCTTAAAAACATTAAATAAATTTAACTTGTGATGTTCACTGAACTGATGGAAACTGTAGGTTGTCTATTTTATTGATAGACACAGTAATAAAGACAGAATCAACATGAGACAGAGGGGACTAGGAAGACGATATGACCCAGGTCTACCATGAGGTGACAGCTCCAAATGTCAAAACACTCACACTGCCCACATCTAGATACCATTTTTTGGTATTAGGTACGCTTTCACAACAACAAAAAAGGCTTCCTATAAGATGATTTAGGATTAGCTTTTATGTGTAAATGAAATGCAAAATCTTAGGATAATTTGCTGTTATAGTGAAAAAGTATTTAATTATTTTCATTACACTCCCTGGAATACTTGATTCTGATTGGCCAATCGCACCATTTAGCAACGAAATAAATGTAAATTAACGCTGTAAAACAATTGCAAAATATCATATCATATATGCCGGTACTACCGTACTTTCGTGTGCTTCGTAACACTCCGCCGTCTCTCTCGCTCTCTCTCTCTCTCTCTCTGGTCATACAAGCGCAAATTAGAATAATTAATAGGCTTTATCTTATGACATGTAAAGACTTCAGTATTACTTTTACAGTAAACATACAACTTTTGATACATGACTAGATGCTCAAGAGTTTCCAGAACCACGAACCGGTAAGAGACACGAGAAGATCGAAGAGAGAGACTTGAAGTTAAGTTCGGAATGACTAGCAGTGTTGGGGAAAGTTACTTTTAAAAGTAATGCATTACAATATTGCGTTACTCCATAAAAAAGTAACCAATTATGTTACTTAGTTACTATTAATGGAAAGTAATGCGTCACGTTACTTTTGCGTTACTTTCGCGTTACTTTTTAAATATGAGCAGGGCTTGATTGTTTTTAATATAAGAAGTTCTATTTATAGCAAATATAAAAGCCCTTTCACACCAAATCTGATTACGTAACTCGCATTACTTGTAATGCGTTACCCCCAACACTGATGACTAGCTACTCTTTATAGGCTATATAATATATACATTCATATTTTAATAGCGAATATATTGAATATATTCATATTTATATAATATATTCATATTTAATTAATAATTTAATAATATTATTCTGTATTTTTTGATAAATTCATCATTTTTCTTAGCTGATCTTAATCTACAAATAACAAAGAAATTGAACTAAAATCAATATTTCCATTGCCCATGTATTTATTTACTAAGTAGCATTGTAGTAAGCTGGAAAATGTACAGTACACTGTCACAAAATAAACCCTTTGAGGATGATAGTGACCGACGGATCGTAGCCTACATTAAACTGTCATATTTTTCATTTATAATTCTCTGCTTCATTTGATGTTTCTATATTCATAATTTCACATTTTATTTCCTAAAATTATTTCTGCTATATTTTTCTGTCAAAAATGCTTTTATGCCGCCTGTAAGGCGCCTTTTCGTATCACCCAAAAATAGCCTATGTTCAAGGTAGGCAGCTCACTAGGTTTTGAGACACAACAGGCTTCTGGAAATCAGACATACATTGTATGAATCTCCAACATAACCAACTGACCACCAGCAAATGTCACTGACAACTTGAATCAGACTGCGTATTTGTGATGCGTGTCATTTGGCTGACCTAGGCTAGTTTATTTAAACATTTACCATAACCACTTACCATTTTGGATTGGTAAAATGCATCCTGCACTTGAACATAGAGTCCTCCCGTGCGCTTTCATCCGTGTTCATATGTTCTTATGAATAAACTCCACATGGGAAATTTATTTGCATACTTCAAAGACTCACAGCAAAGGGTCCCAAACTGCAGTCAATAATCATAAGACATCTGTCTGTCAAATCTAAGAAGTCTTCAGTGACAAACACAGCTGTCCTTGGCTGGAAATAATGTCAGAAGATGTTAACGGTCAGACTTAACGGGTGTGTTTGCCCTGGCTAAGCAGAAGTATGTGAGATCCATCCACTTCATCCACGAGACTCCGCAGACGCAACATCATCTCCAGCCGGATTCATCCACATCAAGCGCAGTTTTCATTATAAACGCTATTTCATATCCTGCTGTTATGTGACGTTGATCGTTGATCCACGAGCATCCCGCATCTTGTGCCATCCACACTGTTTTCTGCAGTTATTGTGCCCTGTTAAATCGTTCTGTCCACATGATGCTGGATAGCGCCTCGGCTGAGACTGATGGAAAATGCGGAGTGGATGCAGCATGTGGAGCAGATGCGTGGGATTCAAGAGCTGCTCAAGCGCGCGCCACTCAACTCTGTTCACCTACATGGACGATACCAAAACTTCATATACATGCAAAGTAGATACAGAATTACTTACAGACTTAATATAATGTGTGTTTCTATAGTAGTTAATATGACGTGTTTTAAGACATATTATAGGATTGAAAGGGAAAGTACACCCAACACTGTAAAAATGAAGATACTTGAGGCACCATTTGGGGCAGATGGTGGAACCCTCTGGAGAACCCCTATGCACCTTTATGGATTATATGAGGAACCATTGACAGTCTTTAGAGTTGCAGGAATTTATGGGTTCCATTTACTGCTCTTTTTTTAAAGGGTTCCTAGAGGTTCTTCCTAGAATTTGTCACCAAAATTGTGTATAAATGTTTCTTTTTTAAGTTAAAAAAAATGGTGTGGCTTCACATCTGTGTCGATTTATTGCTTCCCTGGAACAGGAATCCAGAATTTTGCAGGATGTCCAAGCTGCTTTCTTCCATACAGTGAATATGAAAGGGACTGCGACCACTGACTTCCAAAAACAGTCAAAAATTGGCACCTCTATACAATAGCTTGGTGTGTTGAACAGCCTGAAATTGAAAACAATAGATCTCATTCACTAACCATGCATTATGTATATGCATAAATTTGTGTATGAAGTCAGCATACAAACATTTTCGAGAACAAAATATGATTCATCCATAACTTTAGTACCAATTTTTTTTTCTAAATTTCCACACACACAAAAAAAGTAGGGACAATGAAGAAGACACGTGCAAAAATCACATACTCTGAGTGGCCTAAATGTGATAAGATAAAATTTTATACAGAAATATTTCATCTTCAATAAACTTCATCATACAGTGAGGTGTTATACCCTGAGCTGCGGCTGTTCCTCTGCATGACCCTCTGAATTCTCCGAAATCTAATGACATTAAAACTTAAATTTCTTCTGTGCATATAAATGAGAAATAATCCATTAAATTATTAATGAATGAGAGCCATTATGCCTAAATCTATAGATTTCTGATCTCATTTGCACTCCACATCACCCACATTTGACGTCAATGCCATCAAATGTTGTTGCATCTTGTGAATGTTATTAAACCTTCTGCAATGTATATCTTGACGCATCATGATTAAATATATGCAAACACGAATGAAAATTGAGAGCTGTGAGGGTGAGTAAATGATGACCAGTACTGCAAGATCCATTTTTGATTAATTTGATAAAGCAAGTCACTTACTTAAGGCTTGTTTTTTTTTTTTTTTCAGACCTGGTCATTCATTTCTTTTTCAAGATTTGGCAAGATTGATGATGACAGAATTTTCATCTTTGGATAAACTATTCCTTTAGAACATGTTTAGGCAAGCATGCTTTATTTATGGCACAGCATAAGGATCGTTTTTTTCAAAGAGGAGGAGATGGGGCTTAGTTTTGCATTTTGAAGTCTTAAAGGCATGTTATAGGAGCATCACATCTGATCATCTTGTTTTTTAATATCCATTTTGCCCTTCACTCATAAGCATTGTATTACAACGTAAGCCAAAGATACCAACTTTACAGTACCACTGAAATCGGGCCCTAATTCTAAACCTAAAGTAACCAGAAGAACATTTTTATGATTCATACATCATATACAAGTATTTACTTATATGAGGTTTCTTTGAGGCTGTCACCTTCAATGTACATTACTAATCGCTATATGGGTTGTTTAGTGGCTTTCCTCTATGTTGCACTTTTAAATTCCACGAGTTTAGGAGGAAATAGGTCACCCAGATAGCCCAAGGAACTGACGTGCCGGGCCGCATAGCGGTTACTTGGTAGATCTCGCCACACTCACATTATTCCCTCTCTGCATGTCGAGTCCTCGCACAACTGCATCATGTGACCCTTGGCTCTTCTACAGGACTGACATTCTTGTTCTTGATTACTTGATACACAGGAAGTGGCATAATGAGGTTGAATAAGGAATACAAAGATGAAAGTAAGAATGGGAGGAACCAAATACATGAAAGCTAAAAATAATTCAGGGAGCCACACCCATAACAATATTATCCTCTGGCTGCAGGCATGTTTTGATGAGAATATTGTGTTTTATGCTTATGTTTATTAGTTAACATGAAATCGAAACTGATCATATTCAGGACTCATAGGCGAACATGTGGTTCATTTTTCTGCCACTAAAATAATTTTCCTATTCAGTTAACATCATGAATCCCTTTCTTTTTTCACTCCCTCTAATCAACTATCTAATCAATTCCCAATTAATAATATGATGTCCCGCCCTTCATTTTTATTTTTATTTTTTTGTTGAATACCCTGATTCACCTGGAAATACTGTACTCATTTTGGATGAAAAATGGGCTGTGAAATGACATTTGCTAGTGATGAATAGCTCACTCAAAAAAGAAAATTTGTTGAAAATGTATTCATCCTCAGACCATCCAAGATGTAGATGAGTTTGTTTCTTCAACAGAACAGATTTGGAGAAATTTAGCATTACATTGCTCTCCAATGGATCCTCTGCAGTGAATGGGTGCCGTCAGAATGAGAGTCCAAACTGCTGATAAAAACATCACAGTAATCCACACGACTCTAGTCCATCAATTTATTTCTTGTAAACTGAAAAGCTGTGTGTTTATAATAAATAAATCCATCATTAAGACATTTTAATTTTAAACCGTTGCTTCCATAGTCCATAGTCCATATGCTTCCTCCAGTGAAAAAGTTCATACCCTGTTGCATAAATTCACACATTGTTTAGAAACGTTTTGGGCTGTTTTCACTACTGTGCTTGATCTGTGCATATTTCTCTCCTTATTCAGATAAGACAACTTTTTCACTGGAGAAAGCAATATTATGGATAGAGGACTTATATTTTAGCTGGAAGTGATAGTCTGAAGTTAAAAAGCCTTGAAGAATTTGTTTATAATAAACATGTAGCTTTATGCTTCACAAGATGATAATTGATAGATTGGAGTGGTGTGGATTATTGTGATGTTTTTATCAGCTCATTCTGACGGCACCCATTCACTGCAGAGGATCCATTGGTGAGCAAGTGATGTAAAGTAAATTTTCAGCTTTTTTTTCATTTTCCTTTTTAAATTTAAAAATTTTCTAAAGAGAAATATGGTGTTAAAGGGGTCATATGATGTTGCTAAAAAGAACATTATTTTGTGTATTTGTTGTAATGAAATGTGTTTATGCGGTTTAAGGTTCAAAAACCACATTATTTTCCACATACTGTACATTATTGTTTCTCCTCTATGCCCCGCCTTTCTGAAACGCGTCAGTTGTGCTCTCTTTTGGAAGGCCAAACAAAGTAGTTTCGCTTTCACAACGAAACAGCGGAGGTCGGCGGGCTTGATTGAGGAATGGCTGGCGGGCTTGAGAACGGCGCTGCCGGCAGATTCGACGAAGGAGCGTCCGGCGGGCTTGCGGCAACCACATGTGACGACCCCGGGCTGGACTCCGCTTTGTCCACGGTGAAAGCCGAGCCTGCAATCCACAGCGCAAAGTTGATGTATTTCATCAGCGACCAGCACGGATCAGCTCTAGGCATGACGAAGCAGATATCGTCCTCTTTTGGAAGACCAAACAAAGTAGTTTCGCTTTCACAACGAAGCACACAGCGTCTTCACGACATGGCTGCAGCGTCAACAATACTACAGCGAGAATAAAAGTTATGCTTTCTTTCTTTGCGTGAACATTTGGGCCACGTTATGCAAATCTTCCCACGTCGTGACGTAGACATGTTTTAGGTAGGCGTGGTTGACTCTTAACTTTTATAAAGAATATCTCTTTGGATTTGAGACTTTAGTCTTTGCAAATTTACAGATCTTCTTTATGCACCAAGAGCTTGTAACATTCCAAAGATAAAGGAAAAATTTAAATCGCATCATATGACCCCTTTAATTAGTGACTAGATTAACACCAAGGAAAACCAAGATTCAAATATTAGCCAAATTTCTGCCTCACCATAGACTGAATTACCATGTCAAGCTGTTGTTAAACACACCTGCGGTCATTTACAGAGAACACGACGCACAGAGCTCTGAGGAAAAGAACGTCTCGAGAAACATTTTAAAAGCGTTTTAAAACTTTTTTAAACAACTCCTTTTAACTTTACAGTGTCTTGAAATGTGACGCTCAATTGCTTGTGCACATTACACTGAAAAAGCCCAGAAATATGATGCAGTGGTAAAAGATGCATGTCTAAAGTCTAAAAGCACAATTAAAAGCAGCATGTTTAGCGCAAAAACACATTCTGTGTGAAACGTTATTCTCATCGATGTAGTATTTTGCTGTTGAAGCAACCTGGTGGACTATTTGTGGGGTTTAACAGTCATGTGCTCAGCTGTGGATCTGAATGACGCAATAGCTTCATGAAAATAGAGCTCTTAAAGGAGAAGGAAGGGAATGAGATTGAGAGGCAGGTGTTCATTTGTAAATAGTGAGTTTTTTCCTCATCTGGGACGGTCTCAAATGAGGTCAGCAGCAAATTGGTGGTGAAATTGGGCAATGGTTTGTGAGAATGAGATGCTGATAGCTGCTACTTTCTTCTCAAAGTAGGTAATGAAGTTCACAGAGGTAAGTGATGAAAGCAAAACAGCAGATGGGTTGGTAGAGAAAAGATAAGATTGTATAGAAACAAAAGGGTCTGGAAAAAGAGTTCCATTTATCATTCTTATTTATGTGTTCAATGACATGTCATACAAAACAACAAAAATAAATATTTGTCCTCCTATAGGATTTCTACAAAAATAAATCATTTAATTGTAATCATTTTAATTGTATCATTTAATTTTAATAATAAATGTAATAATTTATTTAATGTTTAATATGCTATTTCTTTATATAATATTTAATATAATATTAATTTATTTATGTTTAA